GTCAGCTCTGCTTCTCACTTTCGCTTTCATTTGCTGTTAACTGTCTGCTAAATTAACATGCCCCTGTAGCGACACAGCAGAGAACGAAAGCGAAAGTGTGCGGCTGAGTCTAGCTGTGCAGATCTGCTTCTCACTTTCGTTTTCATTTGCTGTAAGAGCGCTGCTAAATTAACATGCCTCTGTAACGACAGCAGACAATTAATTCTATTTATTTTAGCTGGCTTGAATGATGTTTTTCCTACTGTGTTATGTGCGTAAAATATATCAAAAGACAACTCCCAAGGGATCCCAACTTGATTAGCTACACCCATTCCATTCACACACACATATATTTAGAGCGCCCCTTGGAATCCCACTCCATTTCGACACTTACCAAAGCGTTGATGAGTGAAAACAGCCGTTAATGTGCTGCTGGCAAAGAAAGAAAACGCCGAAAATCAAATCATGCTTATGGGCTTAGCCTGGGTTAAAAAAAGGAGAATATAAACTATAACCAAATCAACAGAAGCTTCCACCTATCCACCCGAGGCGCACGTTTCACCCCCTTTGGGCACTTCACAAAAAGCAAAGAGAGAGAAGCAGGAGTAAAAAAAAAAATCAAATGTTCTAGACAACGACGGCGGCGGCATGGAACACGTGTCCTGCTCGGGGAAGCTTACAAGGACGACACGTGACCGCCATCATGTTTGCTTACATTCACGACTGACTTGACTGACGTATACATATGAGTAAATGACGATGATGTTGGCTCCTGATGAGGTTGATGACTGACTGTGCGGCGATCAATCAAGGTCCCAATCGACAATGCAAAACACAGTTGGAATTCAGTTACCAAATGGAAGTACAGTTGCCACCACTGACCACTTAGCCCACACACACACTAAACACACGCTCATCCTCTCTCTCTCCTCTTTCGAAACAGTGTTGGCCATAAATTTTCAACTTCAATTTGGCAAATGCATCGGCATTGGCATCGGCATCGGCATCGGCGTTGACTGTAATTAAAATTGCATTCGCATCTAATTAATTGGTATGCAAAAACCAAAACCAAAGGATGAATAGAGTGAGACAGCAGACAGAGACCGTAGAGCCAGAGACTAGTTGGAGAAATTGCAAAATGCAAATTGCAAATCATCGTCAGCCCACATCGAATGCAATTTATCTACCCACCCCCCCTGGAAGGGTTGTGCGGGTAGACCGAGTCCGAGTGCGACAGGGTTGACCATTGCAATTAAAGGCAAAGAGGCATTTAAAACGCCTCAGGGACGGACAAAATCCGTCGGCTTACTGCGATTTCAAGTCACGGATTGCAAGGATTTGCAACCTCCAACCTCCGATTACGCATCTGCATCTGCATCCTTCATGTGTCGACGTCGCGACACCTTCAGCCTTCAGCCTGCAGTCGCTGCAACCCTTCCACTGTCCTCCGGCCTGTTTCGGCTGTCGCCTCCTTAGTCCTCACACAACCCACACCACCCATCAGGACACTGCCATCGTTGCGGCCTTTTGTGCGGGACTGCATTGTGCTTTTGGCCGGCCCCCATGACGTGATTGGCTTTTAACGCTCAAATAAGCTTAATTGAATTTCTTTTCATTTGCTAACAAAGTTTTCTGGTCCGGACTGACTGGGATTTGTTAATTAAAAGTGAATTAGGCGTCAGCCAGAGTCTTTTGTGCGGCAGAGGAGCAGCAAAAATTAGTCATTCGATGGATTTGTGGATTGATTTTGACTCTGAAATGTTTACTGGACACTCGTATTATTTATTAAAGATTGGCATTGCCCTTAAACCTATCACAAAAGGCAATTGGTCATCGAACCGGTGCTACCCCTCCGCAGCCTCTTTTAATTATCGTAATATTTGCATTTAATTAGAAACGAGGCCAACCAACTATAAATATTAAATTACGCGCAAGCTGCAAAATTAATGAAATTCGACTAATAAAATTATGTTTAATCAAATGCAAAAAAAAAAAGGATATCCCACATCCTACGATTGCCATGGCAGCGCCATGAAATGTCAAAGTAAATGTCCCTCCTCCGCACCCAGCTGACCGCAGTGTGTCCATCAAAAGGATATCTGGCCGGCATATGGGAACTATCAAAATTAATGGGGCTCGTTTCATGGTTCGACCGCAACAAAAAAGAGGAATACATGCACACGAATACCTCTATACATATGTATAAAGAAAATAAAATTTAAATACCTGAAAGGGAATACAACAAAAAAAGAGGAAGGAAATTTGCCGGCAACTGCAGTGACATTTTAGCTATCAAAAATGTATTTGCATATAAATTAACGATGCCCCAAAATGCACCTTTTTTTTAATAATGCAATTTAAACATATTTTATTTGCATTTATTAATGGGGCTAAAGTCGTTGTTGGCCCAAAAAAACAAAAGCAACATCAAAGTGTGCGTTTTTTTTCGGCCTGGGGTACGCTTCTGCGAATTCTCTTTGCTGTTTTTACATTATTATCCTTTATTTCTCTCACTTTTTGTTTTTTTGCACTCTGGCGGACTGTTACAAATTTTTGTATTTTTTACAGCATTACCATAAAAATTGTAAAAAGTGGAAACCAAACGAATATGGTGCTTTTTTTTATCCTGACCACGTCAAAACATGTGACGGGTATTAAAAAGAAAAAGATACAAGCCGACACATGGCCGGGACATTGACTCTGGGGTCCGGCTTTGGCTTTGGCTTTAAGCGGCTTCGATTCTCATTTCCAAGCCCCGAATAACACTTTTCCCGCAAATCATGTACGAAAAATTGATGAGGGAAAATGTTCGTGATTTCGTGTGTGGGATGTTGATTGGGTGATGGGTCTGGGACTGGGTGTGGGTCTGTGTCCGGGTTTCAAAGGATTTTTCATAGCCAGCGGCTACTTATCATAAAAAAAGCAACAGCAGCAGCGGACAAAACAGAAAGAAAGCAAAAAAAAAAAAACACCCAAACATAATGCAAACCTTGTCAAGTCATGTGTGTGGGTGGTTCCTGTGGGCTGCGAGTGTGTGTCCCACCCATAATTGAGTTGTAGTTGGCGAGAAAAAAAAAGACTTAAAACACGATCTCATTCCCACAACCCTTTGTGGTTGGGCTGTCCTTTGTTCAGGGAAGCAAATGCGTGCTGAGGTACATTAGCTGTGAGGTTCAGGAGACTGCCATCTCATGGTATTGCAGATATATTTTTAAGGAATTTATTCTCCATGGGCTAGAGCATGCCATGGTCTCCATCAACCATTGGAAACCCTCACTTTACCTTCGTGTTTTTATCATATTTTTATATCGGCAACTTTTATGTTGATTCGCTTTTCGCACCCATGCAACATGGTGTGATTGTATTCTCTGTGTTTTCTGCGTGTGTGTTCTGTTCGCCGAGTTCTGTTCGGTTATTATTGAAAATTGGGCAAATTGTATAAACGCACATATGCGTGAAATTCGAATTCTGGAGAAGGGTGGGGTGTGGGGTGTGGGGTGTGGGAGTGGTTGGTGTGTCCTGAAAGGGTTGCAAGCTGCAGAGGGGAAACTAATTCAATTTACAAGTGATTTGTCCAGCCACACAAAACCGATTTAGTTTTCGGGCCTTGGGTCCTTGTTGGTGTGTGCATCCTGGACTCCAGTTTCCGGATCCCTTGACCAATGACAAAATTTCTCACAAATTTATGCAAATCCCATTTAAATTGTTTGCATTGCAATTTCAATTTAGAAACAAAATAAAACCGAAGCACAATGATTGCCGAGAGGAAGGCCCAGAACCACTACCCACAAATGACAGCAATTTATTTAACATTTTTTGTTTGTTGTTGCAACAATCATTTGTGCCCCTTCCCTGGGCTTAAAGTAATTTTGACACTTTTTGGCAGGTCCATTAACAGAAATCCATCAACTAAATTGCCAGGTTTCCCTCATCATCTGCTGCCGCCGCTTGCCATTTTCAACGCCTTTCGAATGCTGGCGCCGTTTTCAATTTGCTTCGCGCTTATCAGCCGCTCACTGATAGCACAACCGAGAGAGAGGGAGCTCAAACTTTATGTCCGTCGTATGGCCAGGTCTCTGTGGCCCACCTTCAATGTGGTTGTGGATGCAACTGCTGCTGCTGCTGCTGCTGCTGCTGCTGCTGCTGCTACTGTCTCTGGCTGCTATCACTGGCCATAAAAACAGCTTTCCGGTCGTTACTCATTCATGGCAATCAAAATGGTGCCAAAATAGAAAAACGTCCAGCCCCAAAAAGGCAACACAACACGGAACCTGCCAACAAACAAAAAAAGAAAACCAAACCAAACCAAAGAGAGAGAGAGAGAGAGAGGGAGAGGGAGAAGGAGAGAGAGTGAAATGCAAAAGCGTATTTGAAAATTTGCATATCAATGCGTTGAACAAAGCCATGCACTGAGAGAAACAGGGGGAGATGGCTTACTGTGCGAAATAAATTAAAGGAACTTCAGGCTGAATCATCTTTCGGTTCCGATAAATCAGACTTTTAATTCTATTTTACTATTCCTATTTTTGTATAAATATTATTTGATTTTCTCCAAGTGCTTTTGGTGAACTCAACCTGCCCGGTGTCTAGGGCCTATTACTTATCGGGTTTTGTTTTGCTGCCATTCAGCAGCACAGCAAATTATCAGATGGCATTGCCCACAGAGTGGCTCCCTTTATCATGCCGCCTCCACTCAGCCAAATAGACAACCAAGAAAAAAACATTCGAGTAAAATATTCAAATGAAATGTGAAACGCAGCAATTTTGCAAAACTGCCAGTGCCAGGGCTCGGGGTAGACCGAAAATAGTCGGTAATCCGTCAACGGAAGTCAAACGTATTAGCATCCTGGCGATTTTTCATACAAATGGCGCCATCGCAGCAAAGGAACGAAACGAAACAGTACGGAACGACGGAAGGACTGCCGCGAGGACCCTGAGCACCAGGACACTGTGGAAGGACTCTGTGTGTGGCTGGTGTTACTGTTTTGGGCATGATTGGTCTATCATGGCAGTCATCTAAGAGTAGCAGCAGCAGGCCAGAGGAGAGGAGAAGGGCAGCAGCAACCTGATGACATATTGCAACCATTTAACACTGTCGCTTGTAAGGCTACCAGGGAACAATGCCGAACAGGGATCCATCTATAACACGGCGCAGACACAGGAAGCCCAACCAGAGCTGAGCTGGAGTCTAACACACACAAAAAAAAAAAACAGCAAAAAAAAACAATTTCGAAGGAAATTGACTGAAATTCTGCAGTGTTGCTTCATCATCCATGGGGGCCACATGGCTACGGCTCCTTGGGTGCCAGCTACTGCCACTCTACAGCCAGTGCATGCAATGGTTGGGGGTTGACTTCCTTTCAGGAAGTTTTGCCCTTGCTAACCACATGCTGTGCTTTGATAATGAGAGCAGTTCAGCTCTTCTCCGTTCGCCTGATTTGAAATATTATGCTGCGGCAGAGAGACAAGCAGGCAGATGGAGCATCCTGGCCATTTCGAGCATATCCTGACCATCAGGCAGCAGCCGGCAACCAGCAAAGGGGAACCGCATCAGGAGCGAGAGTATCATTCATGCAAATCTGATAATTGAGGGCTTGTCGCTTGGTTGAAACTTTGGTTAAAGTGGTCGACCATCGCACCAGAACCTGGCAAACACCATACGAAGCCAAAGGCACTTGGACAGTTTGATATACTGAGATTAAGGCAGCAGGGCGAACCTCCGAAATTGATGACCGAGGTGAGACCCTTCCTTACCCCTTCTCGGCTGAAATATTCCATATTTCATCATATGAATTATTGTCAGGCGCTGTAGAGAGGTTAATGGCTGATCATTTCTCCCAGACTCTACGGAATTTTTGAGGAAACATAACCATACAAATGCATGGCAAGGTTAAGGCATATTTAGGGAACACTTTACTTGGATATTTTGAACCCAAAGCCATAACAAATGCCATTCTCAGCCTCACTAGAGACAAAAAAAAGTGTGACAATATCATAATTTGTTGTCAACTTGCATTACAAAAATTAAAAATACAAATATAGAAAAAAGAAAAGCAAAAGCCAGGACGGAAGGAAGCACCCCACCATACACTCAGCCGAGCCTGGCAGTGAGCATTAGTCCCCCTCCCCCTCCCCGGGTAGATGACAAACCAGCGAAAAGATCAAAAGGATAACCAAACAAATGATTGTAAAACAAAAACAAAAAGATAAGAAAAAAAGGACAAAAACAAGAGGAAGGAACATAAAAATTGTTTAAAAAAAAAATGAAAAGCAAAAATCGACTTCAGTTTCAATTACAAAATTACAGAAAACAGGCGTCAATCAGCCTTAATAATGGGGCGTGGCCCAACCCCCAGATTGTCACTCTCTGCCGCTGCTACTTAACCCTTTATCGAGCCAGCCAGCCAGCCAGCCAGTCCGCTGTCGGGGGTTGATATCAAGGTAATGCCAAAAGTTCTTACACATTTTGAGAACATTATTTGTATATTTTTTCAACACACAAGAATCACACAACGCTCTGGTTTTATTTTTACAATGCCGCGCCACACAGGAAGTTGATACTTGAGGATGAAAATGTTTATGCGGGCGCTGGACGGCGTCGGCCACGTGTCGTCGGCAGAAGGACAGAGAACCCGGGGGCTGCAGGACAACCCAGTCAAGGGAAATAATCAAGCATATTAATGACCGACCATAAAGAACCCACTGAAAGAGTTAAATGCATTCAATGCAGGCGATTCCCGGTTGCTCTTGTTCCTGCTGCACGGCCCTGTCCTCTCGGACCTATCAGGACTAACCTGAGTGGCACGGATCTTAGAGTGAGACAGAGTGGACCGCGGCTGGCCTTGTGCTTAATTACGTGTAGCGAAGGGAAGCGAAGGGAAGCGAAAGGGAGAAGTTGAGAAGCAATCACTAGGTTTGTTGACTTTTTCTGCACTTTGTTTTATTTTCCCATAATTAAATCTCAGCCCCTGGTCGGGGGTGTGGGCTATGGAGTCTTTAAGGTACAGTTGCGTGTGCCTGTAGAATTCATTTAGAACAAAAATAAACGTTATTTTGTGCAGACTATTTGCCACATTAAGTACAGTTTACAAACACCGGTAAACTTTTAGTACAGTTGTGTGCAAAGTAATCCTAAACCGCAGTGGAAAATCAAATCACAAACGAAGCCCGTCCGCCCGGCGCACACACACATCAATCAACTATAATGATCCAGCATATATGTACGATTATATATCAGTTCTGTTCTGTTCTGTTCTGTTCTGTGTGATGTGGAAACTTTTGTGCGTGCTTTTGACTATTATCAACTGTAAAATATCAAATAACCTCTTGCGGATAACTGCCAAAACCATGGCAAATGGCAGAGAAAGACTCGCCGAATGAAAGCATATTTATTTTTTGGGGCCATAATGATTTGACAGAATGCCAACCCAACGGCAATCGCACGGACATGTGGACCACACGGACACTGGCATCAGATTACATTGTTGTGGCAAGTGTGTGTGTGTGTGTGTGTGGACCCTCCCCTTCCCCAACGCCCAGGCAGTCCACCACACGTGTTGCCCGGACGATATCAATAAAAAGAAGTCCTCCTCTTCGACGTCGTTTCCAGGCAACACAAAAAAAAAAAGAATCGCCGCAAAATATATGCGAAATTGACAAATTGACATGCGTTTTGGCTTAGAGCAGAAGGGTGCGTGTCCTAGCATTAGAAATAATTGCGTGAATGACAACTCCGACAAGAACGTGAGGTGCGGGTCTTAAGGCTTACGGGATTGCTTCATTTCTTTTCTTTTTTTTCGTATATTTATCAAAATTCTTTGGTCATCGTTTGGTTCGTGATTTTCCAACTGATTGGCTCTTGATATGAGAACTTATTTAATCCTTTGAAAATGTATTTTATTTCCCTTTGAAAATATTGGTGTCCGATATATTTTCAATTATATTTGTACATGCGAAAATAAAATACAAATCTCAGGGGCTTCTAAAGCCCAGTACTCAGACGCGCACACTCAGCCCTGATGGATATGTACGTAAATTCTCTTTACTGTTTCCGGTTGCTTCTCTTTGCTAGAACGTGTTCACATTTCTCATTCAAAATGTTATCAAAATTACCCATTGAAATAATGGATCAAATATTCGATTACCTGAATCAAAAAGACCAACTGAATTCGGCTCAAGTCAGTGGGCCAATGAGTCAATATGCATACAAAGCTCAGAATAAATTCAAGACGCTTGATTGCTGCAGCTATTCAGGCGACGATCCTCGAGTAATTCTGCCAGTTCTTGATGCTCTAAATGGGCCTATTTTTGATCTGATATCGCAGTACTGCATTAACCTAGAATGTGTCACTTTGAATTTTGAAAATATCGACTCACGCGAAACCATATTAAAGTTGATTGGACTGAGAACAGTTCAGTCAGAGTTTGACAATATTATTTGGATGCTACAATTGGAACTACATCAAGCCAGAATGTGAAGTATTATGCATTTTATGAATTGTAACTAGACCAAAAATTGTATCTCTAATTTCTAATCTCTATTTCCTACGCGGTGTTACAAACTCCGAGACAGGATTTGGGATACCCCGAATTGGAAGAGCGTACAATTTGGAGATGTAAATTGGAGCAAATATTGACGAACAGGAGCCCCATCAAAGAATAATCGAATAAGGCAACACCTTATGTATAATCCACTCCATATTTCCAACTAAAAATTGCCAAAAATTCATACAATTTATACAATTTACTTCTTAAACAGACAGATTGTAAATAAAAAGAGAGAAAGATATATACATATAGGTCCACATAAGCCATGTGAGGGATGAATTGGCAAATTGATAGGCCAAGAACATGAGTGGAGGAGAGCTTCAGTTGGCTTTTTTCTAGTTTACGATCCTTGAACCATCCATCGAGCGACTCCCCAGACATTTACATTTACGATCGGAGCCATTAAAACTGAAGCGCTGCTTATAGTTTTCGGCTCTATACGAAAGTAATTAAAAGGGGAACAAACACAGCTGCCGCGAGTCCTAGACTTATCCACTTCCTGTGGATGTGGATTTAATCCTTTTCTGTTCGTCCTTTGTTTCGGTTTTTTTTGCATAATTTTATTGGTGCATTTTTTTGATGTTATGACTACATCTCCAAAGGGAATAACGCAGCATAAATGAAATAAACGTTTTACGACCAAATGGAAAACAAAAGAAAATACGTGTAAAAGCAAAGGCAACAACAACGTACAATTCTGGAATATTGCGCGAAAAGAAAAGTAAAGAAAACCTGATAACGACTCGTCCTCTCTCCTCCGCTGTCTGCGTCTGCAATTGTTTATCTAAGAGGATAATTGTCGAAAAAGGGTTGACTCAAATGAGTTACATCTTCATAAGCAATCAAATCATTAGGTTTTTCGCTCTTTACTACCACCATCAGAGAACACAGAGCACAGTGTGGGGCTCTGGGCTGGAACTCGGGGAATATGCCTCGGAATAAGCTTGGACATGCCCTGAGGCCTAACTGGCTGTAGCTGCTGCAATAACTTCATTTGTTTATATAATGCTCATTTATGTTTGTTTATTTATTAACAAAGGCAATGCTCAAATGAGCCAAATAAAATATTTTGCAAATAAAATGAATACCGTACAAGATTTTTCGTGTACAGCCACTCCAGTTGTCCTGTGGCCTCTGTCCAGTCCACTTTCTTTGTCTCTTCTGCTCCGCTAGGACTTACAAATTGAGTCGCATCAAGATTGAAAGAGCTCTCCCGCCCTCATCCTACGGCAGCACCAGCAGTTCATCTGTCAAATGTCAGGTCGTCCGTCCAAGACTTGGGATTGCCCTGCATTTACATTAACTAAATTAAGTGCTCGTTTTCCTTCTTTCCCTTCTTTCTTTTTTTTTGTTCGTCTTAGGGGTCTCGCTTGGTCGATGCATAATTTGTTCATTTAGCAATTGCTTGTCCTGCCCCCTGCCACACCATTCGTTTCCTTTTCTACTCTGCTGTTTCTCTTTTTGGTATGTCCGATTAGGAGAGAGTG